CCTTCCACTAGCTATTGTTCCCGCATCTTTAATTCTTTTAAATTACGAGACATTTATTCTTAATATTTATCATTACACCAAGGTATTAAATGAATGTTATAAACTTATTCATCATTAATTTTCGATAGGAAGTTAAATTTTTTATTATATTATTCAAATATTTCTTTTGATAAAAGGAAAATTAATTAATCAATAATACAAACATAACGAAATAATTAAAAATTTAGACGATCTTATCCTTTAACGAAAGATAAATTCATGATTAGTATGATGTATTTTATCAAATCTAGACCATAAGAAGTTATTTAAATTGACTATAGATAGATTACATAATGTTTTTAATTAATTACATATTTATATTGTTTCTTAATCCTTTTACAGGTATTTCTCAAGGATATGTTTGTTCTAATCATAATTTCGATATAAGTTCTAAGAATTTGCTAATAGATATCAGAATATTATCTTAAGTTTAAAATTAGTAACATTCTCTAAACCTGATGAAGCTATAAATGATGTAGGTTGTATTATATTTCTCTCTATTATTAAGATATGTCTATGTCAAACTATTATTCATTACCAGTAATCAGAGGATCATTTATTAAGTTTTACAGAAAATCCTGCTGCTTTCAATAGAAAAAATCACAGAATAATTTTCTTATTAGTTTTAACTCAAATCTTGGAAGATGATTAGATATGATATATTTTTGTAACATATTTAAAAAAGCTATTAAGATGGTCTTGAATTTCATATTATACTAAATATGCATTTCCAAAACTCAGAAGATATAAAATCAGTAAGAATTCTAGTATCATAGAATTTTATAAATTTTATTTGTCTTAGTGATTTTATAAAACGTTTGAATTGAGTATAATTAAAACATCAATAATAATAAATTTATATCATAAAGTGATAACTTATAAAATTTGATTTTGAGATAGTAAACTCAAGAAAAATTCACGATTAATGATAATAGGAAAAGAAGGTTATAGAATTTTCCAAATTTTTAATTGATAAATGTTCTTCCAATCAAATTATTATTAAATTTTTACACATCTTGCTATTATTTTTTTATTATATTAGAAATTGACTAAAGGAGAAATTTATCTTATTGTATCCAATAATAATTAATTTAATCACTTTAAAACAACATTAACAATAAAAGGACCTAATCCATCATAAGTAAGACCTGCAGTCAATAGGAATTTTAATATTCTTCTGTAAGAGGCTAAAAGTCAAGACTTAAGACTTATTTTTATGATGTTTTTAACCTTCCACATCAGCTGTATTTGGTTGATATATATCTAATTATCAAATAAAATGTTATATATAATTACTCATTATCTATCAATTATTACACCACTTTTTTCCCTAATTCTTTGAGTTATAGATGTTGGTTAAAGTTACTTTACTTGATTCAACAATATGATTATCAGATTATTAAATTTTAAATTTATCAATTTCAAATTCATCTGGAAGTGATGGATATGTAACTTTATTTTTAATTCTCCAATTAAAAGACCCTTTAGCTCTGAATCTCCAATTTATATCTGAATAAAGTTCTTAACTAGGAATTTCTGTTTTACAATATAAATCATTGAATTTTTCTAATTCATCTTTAAATAGCTTTTTTTCAAATTAGTAATGTTAAATTCTATAAAAATATCTATCTTCTCAATCAATTAAGTTTTTTACCACCTATTGATTAAGCACTCTAAATCTGAACTATCACTATAGCTGATCCTGATACATCCATTTATAATTCAAATGGAAAATAGAATTAAGGATTATTAGTACTTTATCTTAATGTCTATTTATTGCAGTACGTGCATTTAAATATAAATAAGGCGGTTGCATTTCTTTCTTTTTTCTATACCCTATTAGG